ACAACCTTCCCAAGTGCATCATGTCCCCTTGAACCACTGAGCCAAAACAATGCCTGTGTCCAAAAGGGCCACCCTACAAGTCAATGAATCCAGCAGACTTGATCAAGGGACTCCCTCCTTTCCCACTGTGAGGGATCTCTTCCTCCTCTTTCAGGGTCCAAGAGGTTGTTTCTAATGAAGGGCTTTGGAAGAAATTTCCAACCAGACAGCCTTTCCTTGTAAAAGGAGAGGACAAGGAGGAGAATGGTGTTGGAAATGTTAATGCTAAAAGATGTGAAAGGGCTCAGGTCGTTTGACCAGAGGCAAGCTAATCCATTTGAAGTAGTATAGCCTTCATATTGTCAAAGGCTTTCATGGCCGGAATCACTGGGTTGTTGTAGGTTTTTTGGGTTGTATGGCCATGTTCTAGAAACATTCTCTCCTGATGTTTCACCTGCATCTGTGGCAAGCATCCTCAGAGGTTGTGAGATTTGTTGGAAACTGGAAAATTGGGTTTATATATCTGTGGAACATCCAGGGTGTGAGAAAGAAGAACTAAACAAGTTCCTGGACCACCTGAACAGCATCCACCCAAACAGCCAATTCACCATGGAAAAAAATAATAAAGGAAAACTGCCATTTCTAGATGTCCTAGTCATCTGCAAACCAGATCAACAACTGGGTCACACAGTTTACAGAAAACCTAAAGAGAGACAGAGGGAGATCTACAAAAAAAAAAAAAAAAAAACCTTCAACCATCACCCAAGTCAAAAAAGAAGCACAATTAAAGCTTTGGGAGACTGTGCAAAAAGAATCTGCGAACCCCACCTTCTCCAAGACAAACTGAACCACCTAAACTGGGCTCTACAGGCCAATGGATACTCCACCTCAGACATCAGAAAAGCTGCAAGACCGAGAACAAGCCACTAGAGTAAAGACGAAGATCCACCCAGAGGGAAAGTGTTCTTGCCATATATCAAGGGAACCACTGATTCCATAGGGAAGCTGATGAGGAAACACAACATGCAAACTATCAACAGACCCACTAAGAAAATCCAACAAATGCTACGTTCAGCAAAGGACAAGAGGGATCCTCCCACCTCTGCAGGAGTCTACCGTGTACCATGCAGCTGTGGACAAGTCTACATAGGGACTACCAAATGCAGTGTCGCCCAAACACGAATTAAGAAACATGGAAGTCACTGCAGACTACTTCAACCAGAGAAGTCAACCATAGCAGAGCACCTGATGAATCAACCTGGACACAGCATGATTCACAGAAATGGTGGACCACTCTCACAACCACCATGTCAGACTACACAGAGAAGCCATTGAAATCCACAAGCATGTGGACAATTTCAACAGAAAGGAAGAAACCATGAAAGTGAACACAATCTGGCTACCAGTACTAAAAAATCTCTAAAATTTATAACAGTAAATAAATAACAAAACTCAAACACAGAGGAAATCCAGCCGGGAAACAATCAGGAACACCTGTTCACCTCTCAACAAAAGATTCTCCCAGGCAGTAACAAGCCACACCTAAAACCTTTCAGGCCATCAAATGTTAATCAAGGTGGCCAATTGAAACATTCACACCTAGCTCCAACAGACAAGAGTTCTTTCTCCCACCCCGGACCTTCCACAGATATATAAACCCCATTTTCCTAGTTTCCATCAAACCTCACAACCTCTGAGGATGCTTGCCATAGATGCAGGCAAAACGTCAGGAGAGAATGCTTCTAGAATATGGCCATACAACCCAAAAAAAACCTACAACAACCCAGTATAGCCTTCCTTTTAAAGCACAACACTGGCAGAGTAAAAATGCACTACAGTTTAGCAGAGATATGGGATAGCTTGGTAATTTAAAAACAAAATAGGCAGAGTTAAAGCTTACTTAATGATTGATCACAGCACTGCCTTTTAGCTTGCAAAGGAATACACATTCAGTATGCCAGAAAACAAAGACTCCACCATCAATTGCTTGATGTAACTTTAAGAGATTACCCACGAAACTTGTGCAAAAGGGATCACACAAGTACAGCATAATTTCATTGTAGATCATTAAAAAGGTATAATCCACTCCACAGGTAGATAGTGCAAGGATAGATTTCGCCCTGGTGGCATAGTGGGTTAAAGCGCTGAGCTGCTGAACTTGCTTACTGAAAGGTCGCAGGTTCGAATCCGGGGAGCGGCATGAGCTCCTGCTGTTAGCCCCAGCTTCTGCCAACCTAGCAATTCGAAAACATGCAAATGTGTGTAGGTCAATAGGTACTGCTCCGGCAGGAAGGTAACAGCACACCATGCAGTCATGCTGGCCACATGACCATGTCTATGGACAACATCAGCTCTTCTGCTTAGAAATGGAGATGAACACCAACCCCCAGAATCGGACACGGCTAGACTTAATGTCAGGGGGAAATCTTTACCTTTACCCTAGATATCTCTAGCTTGAGCATAGGCTTAATAAAGGATCAGGCCACACACATGCAAGCTATAGCACTGGAAGGGACGATGGTCAGTCTTCTTCTGAGTGGACCCGAACATCTTTTTCAGACAAAGAAGCACCTCTCATTTTTTGACTTCAAAGAACTGCCTCAGTAAATAATAAATAAATAAATAAGTATTGTCGAAGGCTTTCATGGCCGGAATCACTGGGTTGTTGTAGGTTTTTTTGGGCTGTATGGCCATGGTCTAGAGGCATTCTCTCCTGACGTTTTGCCTGCACTTTTGCAAGCATCCTCAGAGGTAGTGAGGTCTGTTGGAACTGGGTAAAAGGGTTTATATATCTGTGGAATGACCAGGGTGAGAAAAAGGACTCTTCTCTGCTGGAGCTAGATGTGAATGTTTCAACTGACTACCTTGATTAGCATACAATGGCCTGACTGCGCTTGGGGCAAACTTTTGTTGAGAGGTAATTAGATGTCCCTGCCTGCTTCCTCTCTGTTGTTGTGCTGTTGCAATTTTAGAGTTTTTTAATACTGGTAGCCAGATTTTGTTCATTTTCATGGTTTCCTCCTTTCTGTTGAAATTGTCCACATGCTTGTGGATTTCAATGGCTTCTCTGTGTAGTCTGACATGGTGGTTGTTGGTGTGGTCCCACATTTCTGTGTTCTCAAATAATATGCTGTGTCCAGGCTGGTTTATCAGGTGCTCTGCTATGGCTGACTTCTCTGGTTGAAGTAGTCTGCAGTGCCTTTCATGTTCCTTGATTCGTGTTTGGGTGACACTGCGTTTGGTGGTCCCTATGTAGACTTGTCCACAGCTGCAGATAAATAAGTGACATTCAGCATGGCCACTTTCGAGAAAGTCCCCGAAGCCCACGCAATGTTAATTGAGGATATCATAAAACTGACAGGGAAGGAAGTGAGATAACCCAGAAACATGGACACAAGAGAAACATTTCAGTGTGCACGCAAGATTGTCAGTTTCCCAACAAATGGGGTTGGTGAGCCTCCTCAGTTTTGCCGGTGTCGAGTTTGCCTCCTTGGCCGCCCCCAAAAGCGTTTCCCAAAACAATGCCAGATGCAGCGGCAGCGAGAAGAAAGGCGGGCCCAGTCTGGTCGCGAGGAGCGGGAACTCCCTCCGCTGCCACTTGCTCTGGAAGCAGGCTCGTAGCCAGGATTTTGTTTCGGGGGGAGCTGAGTTTGATGGGGGGGGGGGCTGAGTCTGAGTGAAAGAGGGTCTACCTTAGCAAACCTTTTGTATCGTTACCCCAATACCCCCATGCATATGAGATATATTGAGCATGGTGATCAGATCATGATATGAATAAACATAACAGTTTAAATAATGTACCAGTAAGGCCTTCTCGCGGACCACCCTGAGAATTTCGGGGGGGGGGGGGGCTTGGGGGGCTTCAGCTACATGCCTATCTGGCAGGGCTTCCTTCCCAGAGGTTGACAGTTGGAGGCTGGGCAGGCGGTGGGAGGGTTGGAGAGAGAAGCCTGACACGAGGGAAGAAGCTACAAACATCCCTCTTGGGGAGCGAAATGGGACTGGCTGCCCTGGAAGCAACTTGGGGCGCACCCACCAAGTCTGAATGCTTTAAACTACAAGAGAGGAGATTCCATCTGAACATTAGGAAGAACTTCCTGACTGTGAGAGCCGTTCAGCAGTGGAACTCTCTGCCCCGGAGTGTGGTGGAGGCTCCTTTGGAAGCTTTTAAGCAGAGGCTGGATGGCCATCTGTCGGGGGTGCTTTGAATGAGATTTTCCCGCTTCTTGAAAGGGGGTTGGACTAGATGGCCCACGAGGTCTCTTCCAGCTCTATGATTCTGGAGTTGTAGTTGGGTGAGGCAGAGAAAGCCCTTCTCAAACGACACCTCTCCTGATTCTATAGCACTGAGTCCCGGCACAGTGTGACAATGAAAGCGGTGCCAGGCTGTATGAATGTGTAAGACGCAGGCCCGTAGCCAGGATTTCGATTCGGGGGGGGGGGGGGGGCTGAGTCTGAGTGGAAGAGGGTCTACCCTAGCAAACCTTTTGTATCGTTACCCCAATACCCCCATGCATATGGGATATATTGAGCATGGTGATCAGATCATGATATGAATAAACATAACAGTTTAAATAATGCACCAGTAAGGCCTTTTCGCGAACCACCATGAGAATTTCGCCCCCCCCCCCCCCCCCCCCGCTACATGCCTGGTAAGACTCCTTAGAAACCTCTGGCGCCCGAGGCATTCGAACAAGAGAGGGCGTCAAACTGGACTAATTTCGCCCTCCTTAGAAACCTCTGGCGCCTGAAGCGCTCAAACAAGGGAGGCGAGGCACGCGAGCGGGACTTGTCTGTCCAGCTTTCGACGCTTCCCGCGCTTTCCTTCCTCGCCCGATAGCTTTCCTCCCCGGTCCTTTATGTGCGGAGGAGGGAGAGAGCCAGCGAGGAAGTCTCCCTTTCCCTCCCAGGCTCGAGTTGGGAGCCCTTCTGCCCTCCTTGCGAGTCTTCCCCTCCGTCCTGCCCTTTAAGGGCCCGCCCTCTCCTGGGCACCTATGGGAGGGGTCTGGGGGCGGGGCGAAGGGGAATTCGCCCTCTGCAGTTGGCTGGCTGCTGAAGAGGGGGGCGGTTCCCTTCCTCCCGGCGCTCAGGACCAGGCAGCGGCAGAAGCAGCAACAGCATCAGGCAGGCGGCGGGAGGCTTTGCTGGTCTTCCTGGCGCTGCTGCTGCTGCTGGCTTTGGCGTGGCGGCCCCGCCTTCGCTCGGAGCCAGGCAGCGCCGCTGCTGCCCCGCCGACCCTCGCTGGATCTTCCCCCCGCCGCTCAGTCTGGAGGAGGAGGAGGAGGCAGCGGCGGCGGCGGCGGCGGGATGGGGCTCCGGGGGGAGAGCGCGCCCCTTCTGCTGCTCTTCCTCTTACTCTTTGGTGAGTCTTTGCCTGGAGAGGTCTCTGGGTGGGTGGGCTTTCGGGCTTGGGCTCTGACCCCACTTGCAGGACCGAGGCGAAGGAAAAAGAAACACCACGAAGTTAGGAAGAGGTGCCTTTCCTTCTTTCCTTCCTTCCTTCCTTCCTTCCTTCTTTCCTTCCTTCTTTCCATCCTTCCTTTCTCCTTTCTTTCCTTCCTTAAACCCTTTCCTCCTTTTTCTTTCTTTCTTTCCTTCCTTCCTTTCTTCTTGCCTTCTTTCCTTTCTTTCTTTCTTTCTTTCTTTCTTTCTTCCCTTCTTTCTTCCCTCCCTTCTTTCTTTCTTTCCATCCTTCCTTCCTTCTTTCATTCTTTCCTTCCTTCCCTCCCTCCTCCCTTCCCTTCCCTTCTTCCTTCCTTCCCTCCCTCCTTCCTTCCTTCCTTCCTTCCTTCCTTCCTTCCTTCCTTCCTTCCTGCCTGCCTGCCTGCCTGCCTGCCTGCCTGCCTGCCTGCCTGCAAGCTATGTTCTTTTTGGAAGCCTGCTCCTCAGCCTTTCATTTTGAAAACATTGGTATTTATATATTTATCGTGTCAGAAGTGAGTTGAGGGTACAGTTGTAATGTATTTAGAAACACAAACAAAATTGAAAGCTAGGCATTATGCTAAATGCCCTTTGACCAGTAGCTGGCCACTTGGAGTGCCTCTGGGGTTGCTCTAAGGAGGTCCTCCATTGTGCATGTGGCAGGGCTCAGACTGCATTGCAATAGGTGGTCTGTGGTTTGCTCTTCTACACACTTGAATGTTGTGCACTCCACTTTGTGACCCCATTTCTTAAGGTTGGCTCTGCATCTCGTGGTGCCAGAGTGCAGTCTATTTAGCTCCTTTCTGGTCTTCCACTCTTCTATGTATCCAGGAGGGAGTTTCTCATTCGGTCTCAGCCACTGATTGAGATGCTGGCTTTTCTCCTGCCACTTTTGGACTCTTGCTTGCTGAGGTGTTCTTGCGAGTATATCTTTAGTTCTTAGGAAGCTGTTTCTTGATTTAAGACATTGGTGTGCTGGTTGATATCTGAACAGAGGATGGGCCAGAGATGTCACTGCCTTGGTCCTTTCATTGCTGGCTGCTACTTCCCAGTGGATGTCAGGTGGTGCGATACCAGCTAAACAGTGTAATTTCTCCAGTGGTGTGGGGCGTAGACATCCTGTGATCATGCAGCATGTCTCATTAAGAGCCACACCCACTGTTTTAAAGGGATGAGATGTATTTCACACTGCGCATGTGTATTCAACAGCAAAGTAGCAAAGTGCAAGGGCAGATGTCTTAACTATATCTGGTTGTGGTCCTCAGGTTGTGCCAGTCAGCTTTCATATGATATTATTTCTAGCACCCACTTTTTTGTTTGATATTCAAGTTGTGCTTCTTAAACCACAGTCCAGAGTGACTCACCATGGGTGACAACCCCACTTCCTGAGGTCTGTTTCCCCAATCCATTCCCAGCTTAAGTGTTTTGAAGTACTGTAGGAGTTACTTGGGGCTCCAGAAAGGCAGAGGGTACTCTTCTCATGCTTGCATAGCACTGGCCAAGGCTGCATCTATATCAGGCATGGGCTGTTAGCCTGGCTGTTAGGAATTGTGGAAGTTGAAGTCCAGAATACCTGGAGGGCCAAAGTTGGCCCATGCCTGATCTCCATTGTTGAATGAATGCACTTTGACATCACTTGGACTAAAGGCCATGACTGAATGCTATGTAGTCTGGTGAGGTACCAGCACTCTTTCCCAGCGAAGGCTTAAAATCTTGTGAAACTACAAGTCCCATGATTCCATAGCATTCAGTATTCAAAGTGGTGTCAAACTGCATTCATTCTACAGTGTAAATGCACCCTTAGCCTCAGATGGAGTTCCTGGGAGAAATAACACACACACACAGACACACAGACACACACACACACACATACATGGGGACTGAGGATACTCTAATTTAAGTTCTTCCCTTTGTGCCTTTTATTTTGCATGCTGTTTCCAAAACTGAAGAATGCTATCATTCAGGGTCTGAGTTGTTTTGATTTCAGACTGCATTAAATTTATAGTGTAAATATATCCTATGTCAAGTGTTAGGGGAGATCCCCACATATTGCATGTGTTTCTAAATAGCAGATGTTGTCCTGTACTATGACAAAACTTGAGACCTGTTAACCTCATGTTGAGGTGGCGTTGCTATTCCGAAAGTTATGCATGCAGGTTTGGGTCTCTGAAAAAGGCAAGCCTAGAAAAGAAGGGACCTCCGTTTTAGTCCAGTTTAACTCCTTGCCATTGAAGAGGTAGTGAAGCTGTGTGGATTTTTTTCAGCCTTAGAGCCACACAAGGTCTGTCTTTCCAGCTCACTTGGCAGCCCTGGATCAGGAATCCTTAGCTTGACTTCTTGTAGGAATGTTGCCTTCTCTTGCCCTCTCCCAGGTTGAGGTGTGAAGCTATTTAATGATTGCGAACTTTGCAGCCGAAAGTGTGAGTGCTTTAATGCTTTGGAAAAGCGTCTGCTTTCATTGTTCATGCTCAGTGCTTTGACTAAAGCCTCCCCCGGTTTCTGCCAGTGCGTTTTATTTTATCCTTTGCTTTGGGAAGTTGCTCTGTCAGTGTCTCCAGCAGTTGTTTTCACTTCATCGTTCTTTCTGTGATATCTACATTAATGGAAACATAAGCTTCTTCTAGAATCCACCAATGTAGCATTTTTAAATCTCTGGTAAAAACCAGCTGATTTTTTTTTTTAGCTTTGTGTGTATCTTGGTGGCATTCTGGCAGGCGGAGGTGATCTGGCACTCATTTTAGCTTTCTTACTTTGAGTTCTCTTGTTAATTAATGAATGGCGCTTTTGTAACTGTTGAAGTTTGTCAACTCTGTTGGAACAGCTGCTCTGGTGTGGATTCTGGATTAGACAAGAAGAAGTGTGTGCCATACTTGCTCTCTAGCCTGCAGCTCTAGGAGAACTTTTGCAACTTAAAATAAGATGCACGTGCAAGAGAGTGAAAACTAAGGAAATGTAATATGCAGGAAGGATTTTTTTTTTATGTCAGGAGCCACTTGAGAAACTGCAAGTCGCTTCTGGTGTGAGAAAATTGGCCGTCTGCAAGAACATTGCCCAGGGGATGCCCAGGTGTTTGAAGCTTCTCTCATGTCCCCGCATGGGGAGCTGGAGCTGACAGAGGGAGCTCAAACCAGTCACCCTGGTTTGAGCCTCTGATCTGTCAGTCATCAGTCTTGTTGACACTAACCCACTGCACCACCGGATGCTCCAGGAAGGATTTTAAGAAGTCATTACTAGTGCCTCATAACATATGGCATTTCAGAACTCCTGTAATTAAGCTGTATGATATCAATCATAAAAGAGTGATTCAAGAAGAGATTTCAGCTTCTAAACATGACAGAATGTGCAATGATGCTGTTGTTTTAAGGGGAGGATAATGAGAATTCATGTCTTGGGGCATGGAATAGAAAGACCATCACTCCTATGTAAAGGGTGTATTTCACTGGGGCAACATGTTACAATTACACAAAAAGTTACAAATAGTTTAATGAATTATCAAGTTAGCAAGCTTTACCAACCATTTTGAGCTAGAAATAAATCTAAAAAAGAACCCTACAAATGGAAAATATCTCATTAGGCCTTATATTGTAGGGCTTATTTATATATTTATTTCATGTCAAAAGCATTGAATAATTATGTTGTAGTGCAGCCTGAGTCTGATGGATTCACTGATGATTTAGAGAGGATTGTGAGATTTCCTGTGGGATTTCCTGGGGCACAAAGTGGTGAAGATTCAAGTCAGGGAAGTGATCGTTCTGTCTGTGAGAAACCTGATTTGGAAAGTGCTGGCCTCAAGGTCAGTCAGAGGAGCCAGAAACTGTAACATTAGATAAGGAATTAGATGAAGAGCTAAGTGATATGGAAGGTTCTAAAAAAAAAAATCACCTGGAACTATGGAGATCAACAAATGTCTTCATTTACAGATCAGAGCAGAAAATAGGCAGCACCAGTCAGAGGGAGAATTCATGGGAAAAGGAATGATGTCATGGCTGCCTATTAATTAAGAGTTAGTTCAGGCAGTGTAGCATTCAAGTAAGAAACTAGGCCTGAATTCTCTGGTGCTGGTCAAGCCTTAGTTTTGGATTTAAATATCCTGGAAGTTTCCTATGTTCTTGTTTTGATATTCCTGCTCAAGTTTTGCTAATCATACCTTTTGCTTGTGGATTTATGCTATACTTGTGGGGTTTTTTTTGTTGCTATTCCTTGACTGTGTTACCTTTGGATCTGCATGAGACATTTAGATTCCTTTTTGGTCATCACCTATTGCTAAACCTTTTGTGGAGTATACCATTTGTTTGTTTATTCCTGATTTTTTTCATATATTTTATGTGTTTTTACAATAAACATCTTATACTCTGGACTCTTGTGTGGTTCTGTGGTCATAGATGTTTCCAGGCCTGGGGTGCAACAAAATAACAAACGTATTTATCTATCATGCTGCAAGTCACTACTGGTATGAGAGAATCAGCTGTCTACAAAAACATTGCTCAGGGGACATCCGTATGTGTTACAATCTTGCGGGGAGTTATAAAACTGATAAAATAGAAGGAGCACAAGCAGCTAAATCATTTTAGACCAAAGATATTATAGGGCTGCCATCTTGTGAATGACTGAAGCCAGTGTCTGTTTGTGGCCCATTCTATCAAGTCGTGATGGTTTCATTCATGGGTGTTTTGTGATTGCAGTGAGATAGCGATTTCAAACTGAGTCCATCTTTCCGAAGCACCCTGTATTTTCATAGTGATCTAAAACCTGTTCCAGAGTACTTTGATCTTTATCCATTGTGAAGTATTATGCATTTTGATACAAAGGTATTGGGGTGACTATTATCTGGCTAGGTCATATTTTTGTGTAATTGAACTAATTCTTTACTCACCAATGAAACCTTTGCTTCAGCAAGCATGGCCTGAGGTAGTGAGTGATGTGTAAACACACCTTTAGTGT